TGCCCGGATAACTCTTTAATGTTAATCCGTTGATCATGCCAACAAACTAGCAAGTAACAACAATGCACAGTGATATGAAGAGAATAGGTAAACGCATGATACCCTGAAATGGCCCTCAGCAAAATATGGCTCAAGATTGTAGCCAAGGTATTCTTTTGTTTGACTATGATAATTTTTCAATAAAAAGACTAAAACATAACCTGTTGTCATTTATATAAGAAATGAAAAATTAAACCAATATATATTCAGGCATGTTCCTTCCTCAGTGACCAGTTAGGAAGGACCATGTATATTGTTTAATTTTTCATTTCTTTATAGTAATGAGCAACAGGGTATTTTTCATACTCTTCATAATCCCATCAACAATGCTCAATTCAACGTTTCAATGCCTAAAAAATCTTACCTATCTAACAATTCACGGTTTCTGAATAGGCGCGATCTGCATGAATTGGTATCCGGTGGCGACTGGCGGAATGCCTTAACAACATGGGCAACGGCAGATCCAAGCTATATAACTATATATATCGCACAAAACATTTTACTTTCGTCCTGTCCATTAGTGCAAATTGTGCTGATTTGTGTTAGCAGGAGTGATTTACGAGTATAAACAAAGACTAGCTGCGTTCTAAGCTCAGATGTTCTGTAAAATGGCGGCGGATATTACCTCCAGGAATCTTTGAAGATATCACCAGTCCTTTACGACGCCTACACCGTCACGTGAAGAACCGCAGTCTTTCATCCGATCTGCAATCCTCAGAAACATTAGCAATGCTTGAATGAAACCCGTTTATTTGTCCTCATTATAAAAACTAATTTAATATGACCTTTTAGATATACCCGAACTATTATCCTACGACCATCCTTTGCCCAGGAAAAATCAGAATGTGTTTGCGCAGTTGTTGGTATTACAATAGCGGAGCCTGACTCACTAATGTAATTAAAAGCTGTGGCCACAACAATGCTTTTAGCGATGAAGGCGCAAGCTGCGTGGGTAGCACGCTTCGCTGCGACGAACAGTTACCTCTAAAGCAAATTGCTTCGGGCCTCCAGTCTTAGTCGCATTTAACCGATTCGGCAAGAATCGATGCGCTGATGTGATTTGAAGTTCCTCGATCTTCAACAATGATTATTAGCAGATAAAAGCTCGCTTAAGTGTCCAACAACACAACACATTGACCCAGAGCGGGCACGCACCACGAACATCTCTACACGCCCCGAACGCGGCATACCACACCGTCCACGGGCGCCTAACCCAACTGCCTTCGACCGCGTGGACTCGCATGCGGGCGGGCCGACGGACCGGCTGGCATGCCATCCGAGTGACATAGGGCCGCGCTGGCCGGTCGCGGCCGCCGCGAGCCGCCGCTGGGTCAGGTCGATAGTTGGCCACGAGCGCCGGCGATAAACGCTCCGCTCGGCCGCCGAGCCGGGCCGCTTCAGACCTCCACGGGGAACGCAATGGGAAACGGTACGAGTTTAGTATTCTACAATTTAGCAAGATACAGGATAAGGAGTACGGAACATGGGGTCGTCAGGTTTGGGAGAAGTGAGGAAGGGTGCGGTAAGTACAAGACTTCAGAACTATGGGTCAAGTCAGCAAAAATCAAAATGTCTGTATTACACCCAGTTTGGGAGTGGGAGTTGAACATGGGAATATCTACAGCTGGGAAGTCCAGCAAAACTATCAGCACAACCGTAGCGAAGTAGATATAACATCCAGCGCAGGCATCCATCACAGCCTCTGACACGAAGCGTCTGGTCCGCGATGTTCAGCGGGGGCGCTTGGCTTATCCCGGCCTCCGAGCGGGTGTGTAACGTCGTCATTTGTCCATGGCGCGTGCCCGCCTGGCAGAGCTCACTGTGATGGACGTCCCGCAGTACATGGACGCCCAGCGGGCGTACAGTGACCGTCCAGCGGGCGTCCCGAGGGGCGGCCGCCGCGCCGGTCGTCCGCCCGCTCCAAGACCGGCTTCCGCGTTGAAACACTGCCGCGTGGCGCGGCGGGTGGAGTTTGAGAAGGAGTTATGTGAGTTAGGGCGCGGCTCAGGGCCGGAGTCGGGCGGCCCGGAGCCGAGTTATGGCTGGTCCGGCAGCGCGGCTCGACAGCCAGCTTTGTCGATACTCGGCCGGACAGACGGCAGCGGCGGGCTGCACGTTAGAGCCGTCCAGTTTACTACGGCACCGAGTAACTAAATGGAGGATGTCCGGACGTCTTCCCAAAGTGCTGGAGAATGGGCTGGGTGTAAACTTAAAAAGGGAGTGTCTCTGAACTAGAGTTCTGCACGGCTGCAATTTTCCACAGCCTAGCCGCCCCGCAGCCGTGGCTCCACAGCCACAGCCGCCCACAGCCGTGGCAAACTGTGGGCAGCCAGCCGTCAGCCGGCCGTGGATAATTTCAATGAAATGCAACCAAATAGTATAAAATATGTTGTTCTTAGTTGAAACATATAGCCAAAGGCGCATTGCAATGGGCTATAGATTCTCAAGTTCATGAAGCATCATAGGTTAAGTGGTTGTGTATCTGGCTTTAGGCCAAAGGCCTGAAGCCTGATGCGCAACGCATGCCTACACAAGCCCTTGCAAGGGGTTAAGAAAGATGGGTAGGTAGGTACCTACATCAACAGAAAACATAAACAACGAACCAGAATAGAAGCACTAGCAGTGTAGACATCTAATGCCAAATCCTGAAGCATGGTTGTGGGACAGAACAACAGACCCTGATGCTTTTCATTTCATTATCAATGTTAGGTATGGAAAATGAAACTGAAGTTGATGAACTGTCAAACAGTGATTGTCTAGTCAAAACTCTTCCTTCTTTCTTACCTTGCATATTTTCTGGGGTGTGATATGCCAGGCTTGAAGCAGCCTTCTGGGCAAGTCTCGAACTAATTTGATATGCAAGGCATCAAAACACTAGTGAGCATCCAAGAAAGAAAAACATTCATCTATTTTGATTTTTCCAAATAATGATCTTCGCTCAAATCCCCAAGGACGTGCGAGCCACAATTGCCTCTTTTAATCAAAAATTTTACTTGAGTTTTTAATGACGTCAATAGCAAAGAAGTGGCAATAAATTGTTTTGTGTCTCTACAAACAGCCATAAAATTTTTAATTAAAAAATAATTATGCTATACAGTTGAAAACTTGCTCTCAAACAAAGATTAAGTACCAAATTTTTACATTTTTAGAAGAAGACGTCATTTGATTAGTAAAGTCAACAGCTCGCGTAAGAAATATTGTGTTCAGGGTTTTCACCGTCATGTGAATTACGTGTTCAGGATTTTCACGATCATGTGAATTAACCGTAAGTAAGGTTCATGCTCACTTATAGTCTAATTCCATTGGCTTCGTTGATCAGCATTTTCTGTTAGCGGTCACTCACACACCAGTTAGAACATAAAGCGCCAGTTTTATGTTATGTAATTGGACTTGCCGAAAATCCAGAAATACATCTAAGAGTTATTTTAGATATTTTATGAAGCCTTTACCTGCCTTTACCTAGGCGTGATTTCTTTTTCTATTACCTGAAAGAATTATTGAACGCTCGTCTTCAATAGCTGTAAGATGCTCTCCTAATGACCAGGTGAGATTGATTTGAGAGGGATGTGACAATGCAACATGTTGCATTTTCTGAAACTGTCAAGCTCTTGATGATGAAGGAACAATTGGTACCTATAATTAGTATTCTGTACCAGAGTGCAAACTCCCCTACAGCAAATGGTAAAACCATTACAGGTTTTCAAAGGCTTCACCACTTTCAATGTTGCTGGGCATCCTTTGCATGATTTTTACAGGCTAGACTGCTTATCAGAATGTAAGATTAAGGATTTAAAATTTTATATTTGAGTACTTACGATTGAGCTTGAAATCTCACAGCCGTGGCCACAGCCGTAGCCGTGTTCTTGGAGATATTTGCAGCCGCCCCGGCCCACAGCCGTGGGGCTGCAGCCAGCCGCGGCTGCAGCCGGCCGGTGCAGACCTCTACTCTGAACACTGCACACAGAAAATGGCTGTCGACATAGAGGGCATTGGATTCGTGCTCTAATGTGGTTTGAGGATAGTTTGTCCCTCTCTGCTTCCTCATTTTCCTCCGCTCTGTTTTTCCACCGACGCCTGGCCCTTCACAGGTCCGAAAAGACGCTGATGCAGTACGACAAACGCATCATACATTATCTTCAGCTGTGGTCAGAAAGGCATGCCGGAGGACATACGGCAATGAACGGAGCGAACGCTGTAGCACTAGCGTAATGGAGTTGCTGTCAACTCTGCTAAGTCTGATTGATGCTCTAGCTGCGTCAGTGGCTACATGAGCGAGAGAAGAGATGAATAGCCAGATGCCTTGAAAAGATATTCTGACGCATCGCGATTATCATCATGCTTCAACTGGACTGGTGTTCGTTTCAAGCGTTTGCTGTCGTGCCAATGCACCGACAGCTGCACAAGATTGCAAGGCGCGGTCTAGTTTATTTGCAATCGATAAACTTCTTGGTCACGAGGTTGCCAAGGATGGAAGTTAATGTCCCCTTATTTCAAAAGCAATTTCTCGAGTAACTACAAAGCACCTAAGACGTAGTCAAAGCGTGGTTGTTAGAACAATGCCCGCATTCTCTTCGCCAGACAATCTAACAAGGAAAAGATGATGTATGTGTTTTGTTCCAACATTCAGTGACTGCCAGACACATTATTAGGCTCAAGATAAATTAGAGCATCATCATACCAGATGAGACATTCAAAGAATGTGTTTCTTGGCTGGATTCCGCCGAGGACAAAAGAGCTACGGATGTGCACAGATGGGAGGACGGCTCGCGTGCCAAAAACATTTCCATACATTTGGAATATTGCTGGCTTATTACTACGTCGGATAGCTCGCCAATATATGTGAATTAACTGAATAACAGAAGCAATTTGCTTTTCAAATGGAGCAGAGTTGTCATTTATGATGCAAATTCATATCCCGGAGACCGGCACTCACTCTTGCAGCATTATCCCTCGGGACCCACCTGTTCCGGCACAGTGGCCTGCCCCATGGTGCGAGGACTGGCCATTCCTCCCAGCGACCTGTTGGCGTCCGCCACCTGGGTTCTGCCTGCCGCCGTCTTCTCCTCCGCGCCCGACGTCACCACATACACCAACGAGCCGACCAGCACCACACTGGACAGCAGCAGCGCCAGTGTCAGTCCGATCAGAAAGCGCTCCATGCCGGTCCGGTGGCCGCGCGGTCGGCCGGTCGTCGCCGGCGTCTCCTGTAGGTCCATGGCGGTCAGCTCGGTCGCCACCTTCACTGGCTTCACAGCGCCTCCCCAGAAACCAACCGTCGACACCGTCGACACCGTGCCCCGACGCGACGACGTCGACCCCACACCGCCGCGCGTCGTCCGCCGACTGGCACTGACGCACGTGCTGGCCAGCGGCGCCGGGCGGGCACCCGGCGCGCCGCCCACCTGCCCAAGGCCACCCCTCCGACGGCCGAGACGCGCCGCGCGCCGCGAGCCGCGCGTCGGTGCCGATGAGGGCGGCCGCGGCCGAGTCGTCACCGACGGGAGAGCGTATGTAGTTATGTACATCAGGGGGTCTGGATGGATCTGGTTTCTATTCGCCGTACTTACAAACTAGTTCTGTCTGGTTGTTTGCACTTCTCAAATCTCAGCCGCATTAAGTTCTAACGGATCGAATGACACCACGTCAAGGCTTTTTACACTCGTTAGTAATTTGATTGATTCATGAGCGGTTGTCCGTTAGGTATAAATGGTTGAGGTGGTGGTATTTGTCTAATCGGTCTTCTTCCGTCTATTTAATTAAGGTCACTGTCCGTCTTCTAAAGCTTGCATTCGCTTGTGTGTACATGTATATTTGGCCGCCGCCATACGGCTTCATAGCCGCAAGATTCTTACGGCATTAGTACGTCTACGAAAATGACGGATTAATTTCTATATGTGATCGTCGTAAACCTACGTTGCAAACAAGGAGATAACAAAAACGTTCATCACTGTCTGGGACTTGTCATTGGGGCTAAACGGCACCGAGGGACCTGGAACTCATCAAACGGTGAAACTAGACACGACGTTGCCTCATCCGATCGTTTAGATTGATATCAGGTGAGAATATTTGCAGTCTTTTTTCTACAAACAATGTCTGTGTAAGTTTTCCTTTGTGTGCAATGTATTGCACGAACAATCGGCCGACTATCAAATTGGTGTGCTCTAGTTGAAAATAGCCTATTATCGCCCGAAAGGCATTTGCCAACAGCTTTGGGGCACTTGAATGCGGTACCGCGGTTGACACTGGGCTCATTGTTCGGTGCATTCGGGTCGGGGAGGCCGTATGGTGTTCATGGCCGGTAAACAATGGGGCGGGGAGGCTGGGTCGATAGATTAGATAGCGGGACAGCGGACACCGCCTGGCGCCGCTCCCAGGCCAACCAGCCACCTGTATTGGACAGATAGCCGGCACCGGCGGTCTGAATACACAGCGGCGACTGCATATATACGAGCTGACCGACGCTGGACGCGGCGATGGTCTGACGCGGCTATAGGACGCGGCATGAAATAGATGGAATAGTAGTAGGGGAAGGTGGGCATAATGGGGTACGGGGCAATATGAGAAAGACAGTGCATTTTTTTCTAATCAGTTGTTGCTATCTGGAATCACTTCTGGCAATGAAAATTTCGCTCATTTGCCGCCCTTTTCCCGTGGACGCCGGCGGGGAGCGGCGTTGCTGAGGATGGTGGGTAATTTTTTTCATGGTGCTGATGTATTTTTCAACATTCGTTTGGTAACTTCCTAAGTGGAAATCCGCTTGAGTAGGTTTGCGATATTCAGTGAAAGCAATGACTCTCGTCCTAGCCAACCTTTCGCTGCGATAGAAAGTTGCCGGCTGTTTTGATAAACATGAACGGTCCTGCTCTATTGCCAATGTCCTTCGGGGGATTAAAACGGGTTTCCGGTAAAGGGGATATGGGGTGTACCCCATTTTACCACACTTGCCCCATTTAGGTAAGTATAGTCTCTCTTGAAAGTATCGCGTCATGGGCTGCGGCGGCTCGGTGAACTTTCCCATTCAGTTTGAGGACCCCAGCGCGGCGGTCAGGTCATGGCCTGTATCATAAAAAGTACGCTGTAACGCGATCCTACGCCGGCGGTAGGAGGAAAACTGCTATATTGATCTACACCTTTTTAGGCTCAAGTTCGAATAAGTCAAGTTCAAATTCGAATGAGTCAAATTCATATTGGAAGATGCCAACTACAAAATCGAATACCTCAAGCTCAAATTGAGATATGCCAACTTCAAATTGGAAGAAGTCAAACGCAATTTCGACTTACTCAAGATCAAATTCGAATACGTCAAATTCAAATTAGAATAAGACAAATTCAATTTCATCGCAGCTACCTACCGTAAATAAGCATAATTCGTATGATTCTATTATGCAATTATTATTACCAGTAAAACGCCTTTTGGGCGAAGAACGAGCGAGCGAGATAGTGGGCCCTGCACGTGCGGAAGGGCGAGAGGGTACTTCCAACGAGCTTGTGCAAAGCACCCTTCTAACCGGTCGCTAGCGGTGTGCCAAGTTTGAGCGCAATTGGCCCAGCCGTTCCTGAGATCTGGAAGCGGCATTCTGCACGTGCGCACGTGCAAACGGGGTCCAAACTGACTTTTGCACGGCACCCTACTAACCGGTCCCCAACCGTGTACCAAATTTGAGCGCAATCGGCCCAGCCGTTTTCGAGATCTGGAAACGCCCCCTGCACGTGCGCACGTGCAGTAGCACCCTAACCGCAAACATGGGAATGCATTGCCTGGTGGGTGCCTACCTGTATGCCAAGTTTCAGCGAAATCGCCTCAGTGATTACCGAGTTATTAAAATGGGAACAAATTTGACACCTCTTATTGTTGTATTTTGCACGTGCACTGGGGGTGACCCACATGCATCGAGAGTATCCTATTTTTGATAGAAGGGATGCAGCTACCCTACAAAAATTACCGCAAGACAATCGCCCAAGCGGCTGCTGAGATATGAGCCTCTCAAAATCACTACTTTTGCAAAACAGCTTGAACACCCTTGACTTTTCACGTGGCACGTGCCACGACGGTCACTGAGATGTATCAAAAGTAGTCAATTACGGGGTAGAAGGGATGGGGCTACCCAACAAAAAAGACCGCAGGCCAATCGGTCCAGCGATTGCTGAGATATAAGCCTCTCAAAAGCGTTACAGGCCGGGCCGGGCCGGGCCGGGCCGGGCCGCTCATACTGAGATTTTTCCGTTATATTGAAAAGACTTCGCTTCGCTCGCTGCGCTCGCTCGCTCGTAATTATTATCATCATTATTATTATTATTATTATTATTATTATTATTATTATTATTATTATTATTATTATTATTATTATTATTATTATTATTATTATTATTATTTTTTTTTTATTATGCTATTATTATTATGATTTGCTAATCGCCATCTACCTCCGATCGACTTTGGCTGTCGACTCCCATCTCGCCCCGTCTCGTTTCGATAAAAGACTGTGCGTATCTCCATATCTCCGTTTTTTATTACGCAGTTCGCAGCTCTGCCAGGGCGACGCGGTCTATGCTCGACACGAACCGGAAATCAGCCATTTGAAAACTTGTGCCCATAGTATGCAAAAATATCTCGCCATCATGAACTCATATTTACACAAAGCTGTCAGCCAGCGGCGATGTCAGACTGGGCAGTGGCGGGAAGAGCGAGCCGTGTAGCGGCCAACTGGTTCACGTGTAGCGGAACTGTCTGACAGCTCAAGATCGCTGACATCCGTGACGGTGTCCAAGCCATCCATTGCTTCGAGTCAATTGTCATTATAGGTATGCGTGCAATTACTTTTGCTCCAATTGTAAAGCTTATTTTTTTAATGTTAGATTGCATATGCTTTGCATTTACCCTGGACCTATTTTACTGCATTAGTATGATCCGTATACATATTTCTCGACATTTTATTTTTCACGCGCTTGTAAAAAGAAAACAAACGCATTCGTCCCTTATCAAAGTACTTACATTGTGACTGAAAATGTCATGCATTCGGTGACGAAGAAATTATTTATAGTGATAAAGAATGGCAAATAAACAAACATTACAAATACAAGACGAAATTGAAGTTGCCTTATTCTAATTTGAATTTGGCGTATTCGAATTTGATCTTGAGTAAACGAAATTGCATTTGACTTCTTCCAATTTGATGTTGGCATATCTCAATTTGAGCTTGAGGCATCCGATTTTGTATTTGTTATCTTCCAATATGAAGTTGACTTATTCGAATTTGAACTTGACTTATTCGAACTTGAGCCTAAAAAGGTCAATGACGCAGGTCGTTCAGCGGCTGACAGCTGGGTCGAACCAGGTGGTGGCCGGCCAGAGGTCATGCTCGTAGCGCTCTCCCCTGACCCCGTCCACCGCCCCAGGCGGATACCTGCGCCGCTTGGATTCACCAGACGGGCGCTCATTGGTCTGCCTTGGTGGCGCCAATCACTGTTATCTCAGTGTGCGTGACATTTAAAATCACAACGAAGCAAAGTTTCGCCATAGCCCATAACCCTACTCTGAAGAGGCCTTCGGGCAGCCTGGCGTCAAATAAGGCGTTAAAAAAAAAGACGACTGGAGTGTAAATATCTTTTTTTCGCCGTTAACCAACCGGCTCTTTAAAAAATGAGATCGTTAAAGTAAAGGACTAAGTGACTAGAGAGCAGATAGGTATTTTTGTGATCAAAATCCGCTAGCGGGTGTATCTGTGACCACGGATGCATTCTGTTAGCGGGTGCAACTGATGTTTTTTTTCCTATTCGTGCACGGGCTTCCGGATTCCTATACCAAAAACCTGGGGTAGTCGTGCCGATGACGGGTAAAATTTTCAGCTTTGTAATGAAACAATTCTCAACAAATCCTCTGCGAGTAGGATGGCTTCCGTTGACCGCATGCTTACTGCCATCACAAGTTACCGGACGGCGATCGTCCTCTTCTCCCCTATCCCTTCGCAACCGCTCCCTTCGTCCCGCAGCGCCAGCGGCCACCGCGTGTGAGGCTTCGGTCAGTGCTACCAGTGACTCTCAAACTTGTCCGCTCAACCGCGACTGAGGCAGTGGCGCCCTCCCCTCCGAGTCGCGATGCTTTCAAGATGTAGGTACGTACAGTCACCAGCACTTGCTACCCATCACCCCCGGACGGCGGGGGAGCAAGCTACCACCGCCCTTGCGAGACTAGCGCAGCCATGCGCCAAGAAGTGGAAACACCACGTGACTGAGGCCACGTGAGGGCAGGGTCACGTGATGGAGGGGCGGAGCATAGTAGCTTTTGCGCCCGACACTAACTGAAATACGGCGCTGTGATTGGGCGCTTTAGCATGAATGAAGCCCCGGTGCCAGAATGTTTGTTTGTTTTGTTAGGTTAGGCCCTTTCGGTCGACAAGACCATTGCAGAGCCGGAAGGATGATAGGAATTAGGGGGAGACATTGGTCTGGGCAGGCACCCTAGTGAGTCGCCGGGGCTGAGCCCGTCCGAAGACAGGCCACCCAGCCCCAAGGCACTCACTGCACCCGG